CCACCGCTCGCCTACCCCCGGCCCTGCCGGCCAGCCTTCGTGCCCCGAAGCGCCCGCGGCCCTTTCCGCTCGCCCAGTCGTGCTCGGCCAGCTCCCAGCGAGGTTAGAAGAGGTAATGGCAGAACTCTCTGAGCTGTCTCACGGAGAGCCGGTGAGGTGATGCCGTGTTTGTACGCCTCTGTCAAAAAATGTCACAAAAAGTGAGTGGCTTGGTGATATGGACTAACCTGTCAGCTATGCTCTTCCACAGACACTGAAGGCTGGAGGCCCAGCTCAGCGCCAGCTTCATGCGTACCAGTGGAGGAGCTTGCCCAGACGTGGACACTGAGGAGAGCCGGCTGCAGGAAGCGTCAGTCCTGCACCCCAGCCTGCAGGATGGAGCAACCCTTCACACCGACAACCCTTCATGAGCCCCTCAAGCAGCAGCAGTAGGCAGGTATGTTTGCTGGGGGCCTCCAGCCCTGCTGTGACACGTGGTGAGGCCACCCTGCACAGGCAGTCTGTACACCTAGGGACCCTGCTTCAATGATGGGCTGTAGTATATGTTGTTTTCTGTGGGTCTTTCATACCATTTTTCTGTGAAGAGCACTCCCAAATGCTAGCTATGTAACCTTGCTAGTTAATGACCGCAGGTTTCCATGTTGCTTTGAGGTGCTCCAGTTCAACGAAAATCAGACACCAAAAGTTTTAACATTACAGCAGGGGACAGCACTGGACTTGGTCACATTCCATCATATGGCCAGATTTATGGGATCAAATCATTATTTTTACACCCACATTTTATTATGTGCAGATAATACATCGATCTTCCCGTAAAGATTAAAAATGGAAGATGTAATGTGTAATATTTAAAAGCTCACTGAAGTAGGTTCCTCCAAGAATATTTCTTTTCATGAATGATAAACGTAGTTGGTTTCTCAGGCCTTTTATTAGAAACTACTAGATCTTTCTACTGCAGCTAGGTGATGAGGATTACGTTGTATATAAAGGAACATAGATGACATCAGTGCTCTTAGGCCAATTATGACAGGACTTGATCATAAGTATGCAAATTTGAGACTTTTAGCTATTTTTGAGTGTAAAAAGTAATCTTTCTCATGATAGCAAAAGTGAAAAGCTGTCTTGATGTAGTTATATTGCATTTCAATCAACTAGATATCAATGTTCACTGTAATAGGTGTGCATCCAACTTGGTGTGCCTTTGTTTGCCCTTGGGTAGCTAAACCAGTTGCTTAGCACTGAGTCAAATTCCATGCACATGCAAAGGCCCTTCATGGAAACAACATTCTGCGTTTTTTTCTAATTCTTGTTTTTTCTTTAGTTGTTAAGATTTCTGTTGAGATTCACTAACTACAGAGTAGCCATTTGCTACTAAGAGGCTGTTTTCTATCAGGGTTTTCTACAGTAACTTCTTATTTGCCCTTTCTCTATCCTAATTACTTGACTGATTTTGGTTCTGTGGTCTGCAGAATCAAGAGCCATCTTAAGTTCCTCTTGTAATTCATTCATAGCTTTCTAAATTTTCAGGCTGTGTTAACTGTATTGTAAGCACTCTAGCTGTGGCATCATGATAAAGTACATTCTTCCAAAACTTGTGAAATATTGTGTAAATATGGTAATCATGAAAGCAATTGAATTCAGAATGAAATACCCAGGGTTTGTTTTTTAATTCAGGTGAATTAATTGCAGTATAAGCATGATGGGACCAGAGTTTTTGTTTGCAAAACTGTAAGGTTAGCTTTTAAAAGGCATGTATTTAGTTCTTTTCTTAGTTTTTTGAGTTGCTTATAGGTTTATCTCATGCATATGGAATGGGATTCATTCTGCAGCCTGTTCTCCTTCTCCCACCTAGGAGAGACTTGAGGCTTGCATAGAGGAAGTCGAAAAAGATATTTTGCATCCTTTAATTATAAGCCCTTTAGCTGCCTAAGTAATGTTCATGGAGTCCAGAAAAATGTGTCTTGTGTGCCTTATGCACCATAAAAGGGGAAGATGCCTGAGCTCAGAAGGGAAAAAAGGCACATGGAGAGATTGGAACAGGAACTTGCACTTCACAAATGACCCAAGTGTGACAAAATTTATTGACAAAATATTAACATTTCATCTTCTGAAAAACTTGACATTCTCAGAAAAGAAGGTTTCACTGTACCTTTTGGAAAAAGAAAAACATTGTCAAAGCCTAATTCCCTCCTGAGCTAATCAGGCTCCAGTTATTTGAATCACTGTCATTCTTTCCGGAAGTTGTATACCGGTGCAACAGAGGTACATCATTAAGTGTGCCTCTACTGGAAGAAACAAATCAGAGTTTTTTATTGCTCCAGTTTCCATCCCTGAATTTCTACTGTTTTTCTTGATGTTATTCCCCTTTTCTAATCATGGCAGTAACAAAGGGTAAAGTCCCCCCCCCCAAACCCTTAGAAAGTGCAAACAAAGAATGATTTATGAAGGTTCTCTTGTTTAAGGTGAAGGACTAGAAGTTTGTTACAAATACAGGGGCTGATCCTGTTCCCACTGAAGTCTATGGGACTTAGCCTTATGAATAGGAAACTTCTCTCAGTGTGTCTCAGCTGTCTTCAGATTCTTCAGTTGTCCAGGTCTCTTGGCTATTCCTTCCAAGTCTAGAGCTCCACAGCTAGAAATTGTCATATCTTGTAGCACATACCCAGACAAGTAAAGGGGTCTGATCCCACCAAATAGTAAGAGCTTGTAAGTCCAGTTTTGAGTATTGACTGATTTTACAGCCCTAAACTCTTTTTTTGTTGTTTTGTTTGATTGGTTTGTTTGTTTTGTTTTGTTGTTAATATCTTGACTTCCACCTTAGGAGAAGTCAGATGAAATGTATAAACTGTGAGTGAGATAGGAGCACGACTTAGTTATGATGAAAAAAATACATCAGCTGACTTAGTGCTAGGCAACCCCACTGCAGTCAGTCAGGAAAATTTCTGGTTACTAGCTAAAAGCATTCCGAGTTGCTTTCTGCTAATAAGATGGGGAGCACGATAAGGCAAGTGCAGTAAATACTGTTTGCTGAAAATCTCCATTCCCTAGTACTATATCATGCTACTACTCTGAGTATATTGACAGATGTCATACACAAAATTCCATCTCCTTCAGACAGGACAAAGAAATGGAGTATGAACCTAGGGAGGACTGCCCTGTTTTCTGTTGCACCAAACTAAGGGTATTAGGTTCAAAGACTTCTGTTCAATTATCTTGACATATAACTAGAGAGGCTTCTAGTCTTGGCATTCTTATGCTAGTTTTGCAGAAAAGATGGCCTCCCCATCTTCGAAAGAACGGGAAGACAAAAGCAGCTTTGCTAATAAAATGTCTCCTAGAATGCAGAATCATATTTCAGGAATATCAAATCATCCTGCTTTTCCACCATAAGCCTTAGGATTTCTAAATTCAAACAATTTAGCATTTAGATCACAAACTACCCTCTAGACAGTGATTTGATGAAGTGCAAGAACCCTGTGGAAGACACTATTTTTCTTAAAATATGACAGAAGGAGTATTTATTTTGAGTACAAAACTATCTAGTTTAAAAAAAATGCATGGCTTTGCAGAGCTTTTTTAGAAGTAAAATTCATGAGGAAGCATCAATGTCTTTAAAGCCTTGTTTAAACCTCAGGTCAACATTATACTTGTATTTTGTTGTAGCAAACATGACACAGAACACAATTCCAGTTCCGTTAAGTAAAAATTCCCCTAGACTAAAATGAACTTAATTCATGTCAAGCTGAAACTACTTACTGTTTATGCAGAGATGTAGGAAAATATAAAATTCAGATTGTGGTTTAGCTATATGACTTTTAAGGATTAAGGAAACTAGAGAGAGAAACAGCAAGTCTTCAATTTCTATAGCTGACATGTCAAAACAAACCTATAAAAGAAAGTATCAGGACAAACACTGCTTGCTTAATGTACACTAATAAAGTGAAGTCTGGCCATGAGTACGTCAACAAACTGTGACTGCAGTCTATCAGAAACACTAAGTATGCTGGCATGCTCTCTGATGTTAAAGACAGCATACATAACCACAATTTATGCAGCTTGTGTTTTCCACTGATTTTTTAAGTTCTTTTGCATAGGAAAACAATATTTATAAAGTAAGTGAAATGATTACTCGCTATTTGTTTAGGTCTCTCCCATATACCTTCCTCTGGATAAAGCTTGAAAAACAAAGATTCAATACCTGAAAAAAACTAAAGTGTGACAAGTACATTACAGTCTGAAATATATTTCAGGCAAATAGTTTTCCAGGTACATTTCTCACATTGCCTGCATGTCCACAGAATTCATAAAACAACTAAATGATGATTTATGCGTGGTAACTTCGTTGGCAGTAATTGTTATGCCAAGGAAAACTTACTTACTGATTGCGGACACCCATAGAAGTAACATAAGGATTTTTTTATTGCGTGAACCAATCAATCAGTGTGAAGCACAGACGCTGAATGGTGAAAACAGAAAATACAATATAACGTTCCTTTTTCCTTTATTTCAAAAGGGAATATCTAAGCTTTATTGTCACTGAGAAGTGGGTCTCCGCTCTGAAATGTAGAACAAAATAATGTGGGATGACCTAGAAACTGTACGGTTTCTGTGGTTACAGAGGTAAAATCATGCTGCGAACATGAGGCAACAGAACATGAATTACTATATCACATATGTAACTTGGCTCATGTATTTGTCTTTAGAATCACAGAGAATTCAAGAAATGTCAACATTAATTCTGAAAATCAGATCAACAACAACAAAAAAGAAAACAACCCTAAATCTGTAGCACTATTTCAGTACTCAAAAGCTGTACTTAATCCACAAGAACTACAGTGAACTTGTAAAGACTGAATACCACATCAATATTCCCAGCACCAGCTCAGTAACTTCACAGCTCATCTATTGTTTTATTTATGAATATTACAGCTCAAGCTTGCTCAAGTTCCACAAGGACTCCATGGCAATCTTTAGGGTGAAGAAAAATCACAGGTTTGCCATGTGCACCTATTTTTGGCTCTTCACTCAATATTCGTATCTTTTTTTCCTTCAGTTCTGTCATAGCCGCCTTTATGTCATCAACCTTATAAAAGAAAAATACAGTTCACACAAATTAACATATTACACTGTATTATGCAGATTCTATGTTTAGGAGTAATAATATAACTCCTTACTAAAATGTTATTTCTAAATTCTAATATAAATTTGAAAATAAATTAAATTATGAAACAGTTTTAAAACATCTAGTGTTAAAAATAAAAATCCTACAGAAGTTTGCATTTGTTACCTGAAGATTTTATAAAGTATTGTTTAAACAGATTGTGCTATGTTTAAGAAATTATCAAACAAAAATCACTCATGCACAAAGCCTATTGATTTTTTATGTGGTTACGTTATAAGGCATCCATAAATAATATAAAATCTGCATTACTATTACTAAGAAGATCACACTGCTTTCAAACTATCAATAACTAAAGAAGAATGCCTCCCTGTCTAATTGATGAAAGAACATTGACTCATTAGATGCTGATGAAAAGGGAGGGCAATGGGCAGAAGGTAAAAGGAAAGCCCCATTTAGATGTATATAGCCTCCTTCTGAGTAGGTTAAGCTTCATAAAGTTTCCTAAGAAAAACCTCGGCATTATCAGAAACATACCCGGAATATGACCTGGTTTTGCTATAGAACTTTATAATAATGTCCTTTAACATAATATTTCAGCACAGTTTCCTGCAGAAATATGTAATTATCAAAAACATGTCTACGCTGTATAATGTGATCTTAAGTCTGATGTTATGTCATCAGCTGAAATTTGAATTTTCACAAACATTAAATGCATTCATTGTTTGAAATAATAAGATTAGCACTCACTTTAGCAAATCAAATAGTCAATAATCAATAAAGACCTAGAATTAATAGCATTGCTATTTTTCGAGACTGAGGTGTCTGGACATAACTTGGTGAATAATCTTTCATGATGCTATTGTAGGAAAGAGTAGGAAACAAGAAAATACCTAGCTTCAAATTCAGAGGAACAGACATCAGTTAATTCCTACTCATTTGCAGCATTTTTGTTCATGAAAATTCTGAACTCACTATAGTTCTTCCTAAATAGAAGTACCAATTTGCTAAAAAAAAAAAAAAAAAAAAGAAATAGCTGTCAAATTTTATCTAAAATAAAGCAGCACATGTAATGTGTGCCATAGGCCCCTCCAAGTTGTTTCTCCAAGAAGAAAAAGCCACTTGCAGCTGTTGCTCCTGTCCTGCAGAGACGGCCAGAAGAGGAACTGTGTCTGGGCTCAGCTGGAATGAATTACTGCATCCCCAAGGAAGCAGTGAGAGTAAACAGTGGAAAGCCTGTGGGTGCATCTGTATTAGGAGAATATCAGGCTTGGATTTCTCTCTTATTCTACCAAGTGTCCAGAATGCTTTTCATTGCAGGTATTAAATTAAACTATAGCTGGTCAGGAATAATTTATTTTCTTCTTAAAATGCTTATTTTGTCTGAAACAAATTCCCTGTCAAAACATCTGTCTCAATTTTTCCTTTGAATAATAGGACAGAAGGAAGAAATAAAGAGCATTTTGATAAACTTGTCAGGCTTCCTGTCTAGTATGGAGAGAATTTTTACAATTCAGCTTTTTGCAATAAAATTGTTTATAGAAAGATATTTCTACAAAGTATTTTTTAAATTTGAAATGAACAATCAATTGACTCTGAACTTCTCTTATAGTTTTTCTGCAAACTTATTTTTGGCCAACTTCAGAAGATGACATATCTTTGAAATTGTAAGATTTTCCTTTCTGGGGAGAATGTAAAATTGGAGGAGTGAGGTTAATACCTTTTTGATTGACTATGGTGGTGACCAAATCTGTTTTCAGTCCCACTTAAACAGCAGGTCAACACTGGATTGCTTTTTTCTCCATATAAATTAGTCTATAAGTTTCCATTTGTTTTTACATGGAGACAAACATGAGGGACTTAGGACAATCTTTTTCTTACTTCTTTTGTGGGTTTTTTTGCATAGAGAATCTATTAGTGAGTTATAAGACTTCATTTAGGAAAATCTGGCTGCAAGTAGCACTAGCTCACCTGATTAATGGAAATTATCTGCTAGATTATGACTCCTGGCTTGCTTGACCTACTGGATACAGTTACAAATTTTCTTTTTTAACATAACACTTCTACACTGTCCAGTGTGGTATAATTAGCATGTCCTGTTCTTTTCAATTTTCATAATTAACAGTGTGACTTTCCTTGACAGCCATCTTTGGTTTATCTGCAACAAGATCATGGTTTTAAGCTAAAAGAGGGTAGATTTAGACTAGATAGAAGGAATAAATTTTTTACGATGGGAGTGGTGAATCACTGGCACAGGTTGCCCATAGAGGTGGTAGATGCCCCATCCCTGGACACATTCAAGGTCAGGCTGGACAGGGCTCTGAGCAACCTGGTCTAGTTGAAGATGCCCCTGCTCACTGAAGTGGGGTTGGACTAGATGACCTTAAAAGTCCCTTTCAACCCAAAGATTCCATGATTCTATGATCTCTCATACAAAATGGAGATCTACATAGAACAATTTCAGCAGGTAACAAATATTTCTTGAAACTCTTGGGAGCTTTGAGCTCTTTTTGGTGAGAAATGCCTACAACTTCTTTCTCTTGTACCTGTAAGTAAGTACCACTAGTCTTACAGAGGGCTGGAGGGTTTTCTTTTGGTCTTAGTCCAAATCACTTCTTTTTTCTACAACCCTCATTTCCTAAGTTCAACTGGGATCTTGCACATTTCTGTACAGAACTGCTGAGCAATACAATTTAGGGTCAATTTAAACAGAATTAATTTTCTTACTCTTGAACATCTGCAAATAGGCAAACTTAATGTCAGAAAAATTGCAATGCCTGCATGTATGCAAAATTTCTCAATTCTCAATGAAAGCATGCAACTGCAAATACTGGTCTTTGTAGATGTATTCTGAAAACAATTTTTAGTCACATCAGTAATCCCATTACTTTTTATTATTACACTTTGCATGAAATAATAAAGTTTGCAAGACTGAGATATGTAAAATATTAAAAACATGTATCATAGGCAGCAGCATGAAATTTTGCACCAAACATCTACACTAAAACATGGGTATACTAATAAGATAACTATATCCAGCACCTTTTCATCTTGTGTACTTCCAGACCAATCTGTCTTTGATGGACAAGGAAGAACAGGACAGAAGAAACTCTGGAAACCTTACTGCTGTTTGGTAAGTACGACTGATGATGCTTTTTGACTTCTGTATACAATTAAATAAATACCAAATAAATATCCAATCAAATAAATACCAAACAGGAAGAAACTTCTGAAACTATGCCTTAGACTAAACTCACAACTCCATCTTTTCCCAGTGTATGGCCTTTCTATGTCAGGAAGTTGCCACCTGTCAGACTCTCTTCACAAGGCCTTGTGCTTGTCCATCTTCCACACTGGATACTTAACCCTCCCCAATTTAATCTTTATAACATAAAAGAGGAAAAAATTATCGCATAGCTCATGTAATTGAACTGTGATTTCCAAAACAGAAGAAAAGGCATGTTTAAGACAACTTCTTACACAATATAAATTCTCACAAATATGACAGCCTTATATATTTGTTCTTGACACAGGTCAAACCTATGACAAAAATTATGCATATTTTAATATCTCTATCTTATTAGAAGATACATTTTGTTAAAATACCTCAATGCAGATATGATGCATTCCTCCTGTCTTGTTTTTTTGCAGAAAGCTTGCAATGGGACTTTTCTCTCCTAAAGGATGTAGAAGTTCCAGCTTGGTATTTCCCAGCTCCACAAAAACAGTGTAGACACCATGTTCGGGAAGAGGAACGGTCTCGCTCACCTGTGCTCCTAACACATCTTTATACAAGGACCGAGCTTCCTCCAAATCAGGTACTGCAATTGCTACATGATTAAGTCGGCCCAGTTTCCACAAACAGCTTGGCATGTTTTGAGAAAAGGAATTTGATGATGACAGAGTTTGTCTTGTGGGAGCTGAAGTCTGCAATCTGTTAAGAAGCCCTGAAAAAAAGTGAATAGCACCAATATAATGCTTTTGAGAAAGTATCAATATCTGCTCTTTCCCCTTTTAATGAGGCCTAATGACTCCTCTGTCATAAGCACACCAGTGTTCAAAGCTGAAGGTAGACTGAGCCCAAGGAAAGAATTATTCTGTAGTACTAACAGCTCAACTGTTTTTTCAGTTACTATGTAACTTTTTTCAGGTACTATGTAATTACTCAGAAGCATAAAAAAAACCCAGACAACCCAATTACAAATTTTGTGTAAATGCTTACATATGCCTGTTAAAAAGAGGAGTACATGGCTAAATGTAATGGTCAACTGTATAATGTATTTAAAAGTGAATTCAGAATTTTTCAGAGCCTCTTACAAAATAGAGAAGGAAATTAGGATATGCCTGTACATCTAGAAATGATAACAAACAAGAAAACACAAACAAAACCTTGGACAGAACTGATACTGCAAGATCCAAAAGATAAAAGACTTGAGCTCTCAGCTGTCAGAACTAATTGCAGCAAGGAAAGAAATGTCATGTTGCATGTAAGGCTTAAGAAATCCTAAAATCTCCTGAGTTTGATTTCTTATTTGCTCTTTCTCCAATGATTAAGTCATTTGTCCTTCTTACTTTTCACATCATACAGGTCTTATACTTAGTTTCACTGATGTGTTTCAAGGTGCTTAGAAATATTTCAGTTCTAAGTACTGTGAACAATATAATGTGCAACCAATAATAATTTAGAAGACTATCTTCAAAAGGTCAAAATCATAGTAGCTTTTTTAATGCAACTAGTGCCACTGACTTCAGCGTGACTTACAAAAGAAAGAGAGTATGATTTGACTTACCATAAATGAAAAGGTAATTATAAAATAATATTGGATGACCGTATGACACAAAGGTGAGGACTAACATGTAGACAAAAGATGGAGAAGTTATGGAGAAACTCAGTGTCATGAAAAACTGCTTAGATATCTACAGAGCTCTTCACTGACTGCTCTGAAGTGTAGTACTGAACTTTGCACTACCTGTATCAAATTGCTGTGTTGTTCACAAATAGTTCTAGAGTTGCTTGTTTTTTTTAAAAAGATCACAAAAAGAAGATCTAAAATGAGGATACTTACAAATTAATTACATTAAAAATTAATCTGTCAGAGTACTAAAATCTGGAGACGTTGGGGTGGGGGAGAAATTGTGATCATATCAATTGTTTCTAGCATCAGAATTAGAATTAGATGAAAGGATATATTCATAAAAGCTGCATTTTTAATTTCATGCCAGTTTGCTTTAGGTTCCCAATGCCTCAAGGCCAAGCTAGAGGCATCTCAGAATTCGGAAGTCTTTGAGGCATTCTTAGCTTTAAATTCACAAATGTGCTATTTTGCTAAGAAATTGTGCCAAGGATACACTGAGATTCTGGATGCTTTGCAAAACATTGAGGCTTGCATTTTTTCAGACTCTTTGTACTCTGTAAGGTTAGCAGTAGCTGTAATTAATCAGCTAGCTTCACTGTATGAAACCGAGAACTACCATTTCACAGGAATTCAAGACTCTACAGCTATCAGCTAATTTTTCTTCACAACGACACTGATGCAGTCCTTAAATCTAAGCCTTTCTGAGTATTGTGCTGTGATGGAAGATGTTTGTGTGTATTTGAGACTTAAAATTATAATATGCAATGTACATACTTCCAAAGACTTAATATCACAAAAGTAAGTCTATTCAGAATCTTTTGATAATACTAAATCAACATCCTACATTAAGTATTTCCAGAAACTTGTCCAGTTCTGCAAGTAACTGCCCTGGAGTATTTCTTGCCAGCTTTTCACATGGTACATCCTGTCATCTCCTTCCATCACAGCCAAAAGTTCTGGACAATTCTTTTTCACTTGTTACCTTTAGGCTATCATACAGGGATAGTAGAGCAACTCAGTATTTCCAAGTACTCTTCAACTTTTTACATGTTAAAAAAAATCCCTTAGTAACTTCTACACAGAAGAAAAATTCTTGTCTTTTCAAACGTCTGTGCTGAAACTATTTTGTAAATGGACTTGCCATCTAAATGCAGCTCTATCCAGGGTGAACAAAGCAATTGCCCAAGGAAGCATACTATGCAATGCTTATAATGTACAAAATGAGAAACATGTAGTATCTAGTTGGCATAATTAGAGGCATGGATAATTAACTAGCCTAGAGTTTGGCTGGATCACCAGAGTAAATAATGTATGAAAAGTTTTTTAAAAAACCCACCCGCCATACAGTCTTTTCTGTCCACCTAAGAGTCTGCCTATGTAGCTCTGTTTCCTACAATAATTTGTTAAGACCTATTTCAATTCTTGCTGAAGTAAGAGATACTCTTCCACTTCGAGGAGGTCCAAAGGAGAAAAATCCTTTTAAAGACAAAGGCCAGTTACTATATCACGTGTTATGGTTCCTAGAGCCTTTTATTGTTTCATTCCAAATATTAACAGACCACAGCTTGGTAGAAATACTACTAATGTAGATTTTTCAAGCAATCTTTACTGATGGGAATGGCTTTTTGACATGTCCCATCTATAATTATTGCTGTACTTCATACAGGGCATATGGCTACATGGTTATTATAATTAAATTTGTATTTTGTCTGTTTCAAGTAAATTGACAGAAAGTAGAGACACAGACGGTTACTCAGCTATTACTGAAGCGATAGAAAAAAGAATAGAAAATGCTATTTCTGTTGGGTTGGTTCTGCCCAAGAAATATTTTATTTTTGTGGTGTTTCCTGGAAAGATAATAGATTGAAAAAGTAAAGTATATTTCTAGGATTCTTGTAAAGTCAAAGATGCTTAAATGCCCACTCATATGACAATATTATTTACACATCTCTGCATTTCCTCCTCTCACTTAATGGATTGGGTCGTAGAACCCTTTTTATTTTTCCCATGAGTATGTAAGGGCAGAGGACTCTTCCACGGGTTTCGGTTGGTTTTTTTGTACTTTGTTCTATGAAGTCTTGTGAATTTATCCTAGCTCTAGTCATATGCATATAGAGTTTTAATTTTAAACCCATAATTACCAGTATGAATTGACTGAGATTAAACAAAAAGCATTTGTGGTTTTCTTGCGTTATATAGATTAGTAACTACATAGATTAGTTATTTAGAATTCTAATCTTCTTCTTCCTAACCCAATAATCAAAAGGTGACCCTGCAATGATAAAGAAAGCTTTTCAGCAGACTTCAGGTTGAAACTCCATCACTTCCATGGTTCAGAAAAGAAACACTTATATTTATGCATATATCACAAAACTAGTCCTGTTAACTGTTGTGGCTAAATTCTTCAATGATAAAAACATTTCTCCACTGACTACAGAATTATTAAATTAATTCTTAACTTTGTCCAATGTTAAAAAAAAGTACTTTGTTGCTTTTGAAGCCAGTGAACACCGTGGCTAAAATACCTATCCAAATACCTGTCCTGCTTGAAAAACTTGCATATGCTAACCAAATTCACACACGCAATTGCTTCTCCTGGTATATACAGCATTTTCCCCTACTGCTTTTTTTAAGACCTCATTTTTCAAACAGTGACAACCAAATCTGAATTTTTCTAGATATTTTGTCTTTTAGAGAACATTCAGCTGATCCTGCTCTCATATATGATTGCTGGGTTCCTAGCCTCAGTGATACTGCAGAACGTGTGTCACCTTCTTCAGCGTAATTTGGAGAACATTTTAAAATTGATCTATTTGAGTTTTATTCTATTAATGCTTGACTGATCTACTAGTATTATGCACATCAGAGTTTAAACATGTACAGTTGTACCAACTGAGGCTTACATTCTATAACAGAGCAGATTATGAAGTAACAAGACTGAAGTACCCCATAAAATGAGATCCTCATCCTTCAAATGTTTATTCATAGGTTTGTTGCTCCTTATGTGGGGCAGTGTTCATTGACTTACATGGCTAAGTAATCAAACGCAAGCCAAATCCAACTGAATTCAGTCATGTTCTCTATGGGGAGGTTATACAACTGTGCGTCGCAGTAAGAAGAGCCTTGTCACTGGGCACTGCTCTATTGTCAACCATTTCAGGTTGAGAAGAAGTCCCAAGCATGGAGAGGATGTTGTCGCCATAGGGAGTCTGGCATACACGGGCTGTGTATTAGCTCTCTGGACCAAATGGGGAAAGGGCATAGTCTGGCCATTCTTAAACCCCAGCAATTTCAAGCTGGTGTTAGCATCTTGTAAACTTTGCCAGCCAACAAGGCTTAGGTCATCTATAGTGCTGCTCTGCTCTGTGCTGGAGGTGGCCTTTGGGAATCAAGATAGGCTCCATAGCTCTAGAAATCGAGTCTCACTTGGCTGCAGCTCTAGTTTTTTCCACACAAAGGTGTTTTCATTCCCAGTACCCCACTGATCGATCACTGACAGCACTCTCATTCACTTTTCTCTTACAGTCTATGGCTACCGAGTGAAATAGTGTGGTTTAGGTATGGCGAGTTTAACCTGCCCTTACTTTCTATTAAGGGAGTGAGCAGTCCAAGTAATTATAATACATGGGATGTGATTTTGCATTTGACCTCCAAGTAGTACCTTAAAAAGACAAGCTCCTCCTTGCGCCCTAAGTTTGGAGTTTGCTGCATAAGTTTATTCTACGCCAGATAATGTCAGTTTTTAATATATCTGTCATCTGGATCAGAAGACCTTGTTTT